ATATATATACTAATAATAGTATGCTATGCATCAATAGCAGCAACAGCTTTTCCAGGTTCTGCAGTCATCTGAACAAAATTATAGACATTCAGCACATTCCATTAAAAAAAAAACAAAGAAAAGAATAATATCCAGACAACAGCAAAGTTCTGTTGCTGTTGTGGTACCTGGCACCATTTTTTCCATTAGCCTAGTAGTCATCATCTGGAAAGAGAACATTCTAGAGTAATATCATTAAATGTAGCTCTGATAAAGCACGGTCCCTACTATGTATCATAAAGCAGGTACTAGATATTTTATATTCATTGAGGTATGATACAGTACTGTCCTACATCAATACTGCAAGTATTTTATTGTGAACTTGTGACATGCTTTCAGGATTCTGAGCTTTGCTTTTGAAGATAGTTCCTGTGATAATCAATTGGTGTTATTTTAGCAAATGCAACATCAATGGGTAACTAGTGAACCAACTGTTGAATGTAACATTTGGTTTACTTTTTTTTTAATGGAATACTTTATGAATTTCCATGTCATCCTTGTGGAGGGACCATGCTGATCTTCACTGTATTGTTACAATTTTAGTATATCTGATGCTGAAGCAAGCACTGGTTTACTTTTTAAAGTAAGTGCATCAAGTCGGTTCACAAAGTTATGCATGAAGAACATACTTGGTGGCTGAGTTTCAGGATAAATTTCTAAATTCAAGGTGTAAGATGACTTCACATCTACCAAAGCATATATTTTTATATTATATTTCAAAGATTTACTTGGCATATATTGCCAAAAGCTTTGACAACCATGAAATGATGTAAGTTGTTTGTCAACTCAGTGTATAAGTTGCTTGAATTTGAAACAATGCTTTCAACAAATGAGCAAATAACAGCCAAACTGTTGGATATTTTTTTCTTCATGGGTTTTTTGTTATCAAATGCAGGCAATTTCGAAGGAAACCAAATCTCTTGCTCTAAAAATCTCAATGTCACATCTGTCACTTCTCTATAAATCTTTTAGATTCTGATCATTAGAATGATAAAGTTCTGGGCCGGGGATTAGCTCAGTGGTGACACCACCTGCCTCGCAAGCACAAGGTCTTGAGTTCGATCCCTGGTTCCCTCCACCAAAAAAAGAAAAAGTTATCCTATGAAGGCTTTTAGTTTAGAGAGTGGAGCATCATGATAAATATTTTTTTCAGAATTACTATTGAGGCATATAGAATGTTTTCTTCTTTTTCATTATTAGTGTAGTTTGAAACATCTTGTAGCATATCATATTTTACAAGCAATTTGCAACACGGACTCATAGTGTTAGCATTCCATCCAATAGGTTTCACCATTGGCAAGAACCTAATAACATTTTCTGATCTAGTTCTAACATTGGATTGTTCAGGTGTACATGACCATTTTGTAGCATTTCGACTAGTCAAATATTTATTTACATTACTATATTCTTCCTCATCAGAAGTCTTTATTCTGCACCTCTCTGTCATATTTGTCACATCTTGCTAACTTATTTGGCTTAATCATCCAATTGATCATTGGTAGCTGAGTCACCTGATAACTCACTTTCAACCTCCTCCCAGCATTGTAAAAGTGGATTTTCATATGACACTGAAGTGAATTGGGCTAATTCTATAAGAAAAATCAAAAGAAAACATTTAATAAAACATTTTTAAAACACATAGCTGGCTATCATTATGGTAGAGTACATATTTTAACTTATTTTATTATATAATTATTTTGGTGAATATATGTTTTCTTTTGTGTTAGGTCACTAAATGGTTTCATTTACAAGCCAAAACTTTTTGCAAAATGATGGTATGATTTGCACTTGCACCACCAGTAGGTAACGGGTCCAGCTGCCCTGCATCCTCATCAGTATTTGCTGTCATCAGCTTTTTAACTTTATGACATGCTTGTTTGTGTATGCATGGAATCTTTTTACTATCTGTACATATCTTTCACCTATTTCTTATTGAGGTGTTTGTGTTTTTATTGTCAGCAACAAATGTATTTATTACTGTATATCATACTATGTGACATTATCACTACATACATATTTTATATATACATAGTTTTTTATTATATATATATATATATATATATTACATAACTTTTCCTCCCATACAAGACATCTGAACATTAAAAGAAAGGTTCATGTTGGCACAGAGTCTGTGGAGCTTTCAGTCATAGTCTTCTGGCTCCGAGGCAGGAGAGCATGGGAGAGGCGCGTCATGAAGGAGAAAGAGCTGCTCTCCTGGGAAATCATAGAGTAGAGCAAAAGGAGAAACTGGAGAGGAAGATGCACCCTCCTAGGTTGCAGCCCAGCTCATCTGCCTCAACCAGCCAGGCCCAGCTCCTAACATCCAGTCATCTGTAGCACCCTGTAATGCACATGTCCTGCCTTTGGTGGAATGAGGCTTCAGGAAGACATTCAGATATAAACTATGACAAGTTCTTCATATATCTTATATTCTGGGGAAAATCCTTTGTGAGTTACATTAATTAGTAATTTCTCCCAATTTGTTTCTTACCTATTAATTTTAGTGACATCTTTTGAAGATCAGAAGAGTTTCAAATTTCGATGAAGTGCAAAGTTTTCTGTTATGATTCTTCTGTATTGTGTCCTATCTCTTTCCCTCTGCAAAGAAATGAAAGTTTGTGGAGTTAGCGTTTCTATTTGGTGTGAGATTTGAGTTAACGTTGTTTCTTTTTTTCCATATGGCTATTCAGTTGTCCCATCACCATACACTGAAGAAATAATATTCTTCTTCCAACGAATTTCTTTGTTAAAATTAATGGAGAAGATAATTACATATGAATTTTTCAAACAGTTTCCTTCTTAAAAGATTATCTTAATGAAAGAATATTTATTAAGAGTCTAATTCATCATACAAAATGTTATGTTTTCTTTAAAAGTTATCATTTATGACTAAATACTCTTTTGATAAAAATGCTTACATTTATGTGCTACTAATATTTGTGACAGGTCTTATGAAAGATGCTAGAATACTTATATGCAGTGGAGAAAAGTAGCCAGAGGACAGAGGAGCCTTAATGTTCCATGATCTAAGCAGTTAGAGAGGGAAATAACACATTGACCAGGTAATCTAATAATGAAGAACATGGACAGTCGTTTACAATTTTTGGTATAGGAAAAATAAACTCTGAGTTCTTGGAATATATGTATGCCTAAAGATTTAGTTTTGAACTTTATGACTTTTAAATTAAACAGATTGACAGAGTATGAACACAAGATATTAGTCGTGCTGAAAGTTCATGTTCAATCTCAGTTTATCGTCACACTTCTAGTTTTAGTAACCAAAAATACATAAATATTTTCTCTAGGCGTGGATAGATGGAGATCACCATTTCAATTTCTGGGATTTTTCTGTTTATTATCTGAATTCTCAGTTTTTAAAATTTGAGTGAAAACTAACTGATTGTTTGGATTTGATAGAAAATATAAGGTCACAGTGGTTTTTGTATGAGGCTTAGTTATCCATAATGAAATACTGATTACTTAACCATGTAAATAATCCACTGGTGCCTAGAGGTCTCTTATTGCATCCCATGCTTATAGGTATCTGAAGACTCTGCCATCTCTGAGGATTGCAGACAAGCAGTCCTGAGTGCTGTCCATCCAGGTTGATTTCCCATTTTTTTGATCCTCACACTCTGTGCATATGTTCTAAACTAATGACATTGATTATCAAAAATATTAAAATTAAATGTGTATAGTGTGGATGTTTGAAGAAAAAGTTTTTGCCTTTAGAAGTTATCATTGACAGGTAGACAAGTTATGTAGGAAACTAATTTGTGCATTTCAGGGTTATTTATGAATTTTGATCCTCATCTGTCTCATGGAGTCAGTTATTTTATTTTTCTTTAATTTCCTGTAAAAAAACTAGTATTTTCATTTAGAATTTAAATCCTCACTATGATTTGCATAATTCCTTCTGAACTTGCCTCTTTGAGGTGACAGAATAAAAGAGAGTTCAAATCATCTAAGGAGCAGCATATGAACATACAGTAGAGAAGTTTATAAGCCAAAGAAATTTTATTTTGTCTCTGTGAAGTATATAATTTTGGGAGTGACTTCTTAGTTTTCTAATGTGGTGCTCTATTAAACAAATTTGAGCTGACTGTTTTTGTATAAGCAGCTGTTGGAGTTCAATGACTCATATTTAGTAGGATACTGCATTACTGTAAAGTAGTAGAAATATCTTAAGTTTGGATTTCAGTGATACTTGATTTTTATTTTGTCCTAAAAGATAATAAAATTTAGAATTAGTTTTCCTCTGTGGATAAAATTTAAAATAGATATTTTATAACACCAAGTTTTCTCCTTAGGAGAATACATTGACTTCATGATCTATAAAATACAAAACAAAGACCTGAGGATATATTTGCATTTTTAAAGCAATATTACTAACTGGTGTATTTTATGGTTTTATTTACGGAATGCTGTTTTATAAATGGAGTGTGAGATAATGAAAAGATGGAAATAAAGTGGTTGTAGATGGGGAGGGGAGGAGGGGGTGAAGGGAGGGCAGGAACAAGGGGAAAAAATGAGAACCAAGACTTGTCATGTAGAGGTACAAGATCCCAACAATGAATGTAACTGTACTGTATCCCTAAAATGTACCAATAAACTCAATTAAAGCTGAAAAAAAATAAAGTACTTATTTTATTTGGAATTGTTACAGCTACCAGGTAACCACTGGGAACATTTTGAGTCCTGTCTAGTTTTAAATATGAGTTTACTTTAATTTCAGATACATAATGTTTTTTTTTGTTTTGTACTGGGGATTGAACTCGTATAATGGATTTTTTTACTATTCAATAGCTAACACTTCTGTGTCAAATGGAAAATAATGTTAAGAGTGGGTGTGTCTTAAAACATCATTTAACAAGGACTTTTACTTATCAGTAACATTAAGTGTACTCTTCTCATGATCTTTGATTTTCTTCAGTTTAAAGCAGTATGAATGCACAGATAGCATTAAAAATATTCCCTGATTTCTCTGCTCTTGCTTCCCATATATATTGGATTTTGTGATAATTTTGTTCCATTAGAAACCAGAAGATCTTGTGATCTGTCCAATAACATTTTGATGGACTTGATCTCCTCTCTATTTTCTCACAATTTAAATCTTTGCTTCTTTCTTTAATAATGTGTTGAAAATTACTAGTGTTGCAAAGTGATACTGTGTTTCCTATTGAACAGCATACATCAACTAGGAAGATATTATTTAGAGTTAGTCTACAATATAAAGTATTAAATTTCTGATTGCATTAATTTTTCAGTGACACAAGGTAGGAGTGTAGCCAGGGTAGCCAAGTAGATTAATTCTTAGTCTAAAGCTTTATGTATGCTATGCATTGCTACATTGAAATTGATTGATATAATTTGCTTTGTAAATGCATTGAACAAGTTGACACTAAGACGTTCAGCTGGTCAGAATGAATGAAATACAACTTTAATGTTTTACAGAAGCCCTCAAAACATTTGATTGCATGGATTAATTATACCACAAGAAGTTGCCAATACCATATGAAGTACTATACTACTATGAAGTATTGTAATTCTAGACAGAGATGTC